CTAATCAAAACATTCGTCATGTGGTGTATCCTCAATTTGTCACCTTAATTGTTGTTGGAAAACGTGTGGGAGATTTAAACCTTGTCCCGCATACAGCAAGACAGTGCACGAATATCTGTCAACAGGTGCCTTGATGATGCCTCACATCTGCTACACACAAACTTCGTGATTTGTGATGAATCGTGTGGCTGAATTTAGCACAGCCTCAGGCAGATTCTATTAATCGATTACATTAGTTCCTAGTGCACCTATTGCAAGTTTTACGTTCCAGATTTCAGCAGTGATAGATGAAATCCGCGTTCGAAATTGTTCGACTGATTGTACATATTAAAGTATATCGGAATTGTTCGGTAGTTTTCTATTGAAATGTAAATGTCAACAAACCTGTCACGCACTCTAACCCATCGAGTTCCGATTAACTTCCCCAATAGCCCTCAGATTCTTTCCATTAATATTTCGTGAAAACCGGTGATGACGTGAAGACGCAGTACGAGAAGCACGACATAGCTAGAGATTACTGTATACTCTCAAGCCGAGTCTCAAAGGTTCAGACTAATTTCTGTTTAATCTTAATTGTGTTGTGTAACATTTTAATTTAAATTCTGAACGCTGTCGTACTATTTAAGGGAGCAGCAGACACTCTGGTCTCTTGCTCCAACTCGTAGCCCGCCACAGTCGCGAGAGACTATTGATTGAGGAATACGAACTTACTGTACCGCATTGAATATCCCATTTGTAATAGTGTGAGATATAGCTACTGTATATATACGTCGCCTTCTATGGAAATCTGTAGAACCTTTCAACATTTGAAAATGCTATTACTTGTACCAGTGCTACACGTTTGAGCTGAAAGTTCTGTCAGCTACCGATCAATGCTCAGCTACCGTCGGCCAATGATGCATGCATCTTGATTGCATGACAGATTTCAATTCATATCTAAGAAAACAACTGAATAACATATATATTCATATCTTGAGAAATATTTCAGTCTTATAACTAAATTATTGAAAACAATCAAGTCCTAACTCATAGGCTTGACTGCATGTAATTTAAACGTGCGATTTGAGAATTAGTCACTCTAAATTATAGTATAAAAGCGCGCGTTCTGTCGAACGAGTGAATCTGGGCACGCAATGTCGTGTACGACAACATGGTCACAACTCGCACTTGTACGTCGTACGACGTCGACAACTCAACAGTTGTTATCACCGAGTTACTCAAGGGATCAATCGTTATCGCTGAGTCAGATAAAGGCTAGGTACCGTAATACACCACATCATAAAAACATTTGTTTCTCAAAATACTTAGCAATTGGTTTTCCTACCTAAAAGTATCGGTTCCTATGAGTAAGACGTGTGTCGCTGAAACTTACCACCACGACATAACTCTCGTTTTTTAATGTATGCTACGCAGGTTTGTATAGTCCACCGCGGCATTGATTAAAATAATGGAAACAATAAGACATGCTTCTTCTAAATTGAACGAAATTCTATTTCGACTGGGAAATTCCGTCCGCTACGTTGCAATTTGAAAGCACATGAAACAACTGAATTCTGCAACATTATAATTATGGATGAGTGAGTGACAGATCTCTGGCGTCAAGCCATGAAGCTGATGACGATGTCAGCGCAATGAGCAATGAATATGTGGCCTGGTAGCTATTCGATGTTCAGGAAGAGGCTCACTCATGCATGCTGCAACGCATACCTAAAATCGCGTGCTAACCTGAGACCAGCTCATGACCTATATTATACAACATAACCTATATGCAACACAACATATGAAAGAAAAGTGTACAACAAATCAAGTGTTATATACTCATTTGTTGTGTGATGTCTTTGAACCAAGCTAATACTCAATCTGCCATTGAATGCATTTAATGCATGTAAGAGCAGAATGTTTACACAGAGGAAAGTACCAGCCATGTAGCCTTCATACATACCTCGCTAGATGATTTGCGTCGTTTAATCACCTAGCAATGTGTTTTGTCTCAGTTTTTTCTGGATCTTGCGATCAAACACTAATCAGCAATCTTCGTCTTAATCCTGTTAAAATCACCTCGGATATAAGTACTAGTTTCATTTAATAGCTGCTCAATTTTTATATCTCAAAATGTATTTTAAACAAGTGTTTTCATTTCACAAGCATAAGAATCGAAACCAATACGAATGATGGAAATCGCAAAACGCGAGAGGCTTGAACTATTTTCACACGCTATCGCTTTTAATTTTTAATTATAAGCACAACTTTGTACTTATCCCTGCCAGGCTATAAGAACAATTGTGCACCAAACGACGTTTCCTTTCTTCATTCGAACATAGGAACGGTGTGGGGAAAATAAAAAGCTCAACCCTCGTAAGTTACAAGAAAGAGGGTCGCTTGTTTAGAATTGTAAACTTAGCCAGGTTACAAATTTACTCTAATGTAAAGCACATACCATAACAATGCACACAAATCATTCCTTGATTTTTAAAGAGCATAAGAATAAAAATGTGGATAACACTTTAACTGTAATTCAATAAACAATCACAGCTTTACTAACACCATGTTACGCCACCACCTCTCTCAATAGTCGCCAGCAAGGCACTGATGAAACCGAACCCTCACACATACACGGAGCTTATCGGAGTTTAGGTATCATACATAGTAGGTATCAGGATAAATTTTCAGTAGTGGTACGCACGGAAACTAGAAGGCACCGCGTGGACAAACGAACGCTGCGCCATGATTGGTTTAAAGATCCTCAACCCCAGGACGCCAACCAATTAGTAAACAGAAAGTCGGACGTACGAACGTGAAAGACGCTGGCAACAGATCAAGTTGTCATGTTTGACGACGAGCGTGTTTTGTATGCACAACGTGTGTGCAGTAATGATGCTTACGACGCTTAAATCTACTCTGACGTCAGAGAGAGAGAGAGGGCGATGTAACCGCACGTGATGCGTATGCTTATATAGTGACGTTCAAGTGATGAATACTCAAGCAAGAGGCTCAAGGTTGTCTTGCAGATGGAGACATAATTCCTTACCTTGTTCTCGAATATGTATCGTTATGGAAATACCACAAAAAGAAACTTTACTTTTTTGGTTTCGTAGAGTATTTGCGCGTATAAGAGACCGAATGAGATTTAAATTGATGCGCAAAAAGTTTGAGACGTTATAATGAAATCAGACGAGTTATTGAATGCCTAATCTATAATACCGGAAGATGTGAATAAGATTTGAACCACCGAAATGAAAAGATTCAGCCTTGGCGTCTAGCTCTGATATCCTATCGTGACATGACGAAGAGCTGTTGTAAGGGATAATGCGATCAAATCGGAGACGACAATGTCCTAAGCGGTACACGACTAATGTTGACGCACTGTACCACGATCCTCTGTAGTGGCTGGCAGCCTGGCCACTCCAACTCATCACAACAGATGCTGGTAGTGCACTGCATGAATGGTGCTTGTACACTGCACGACTGGTGTTTGTACAAATGTACAGTAAACTACACCACACAATACATGAACACAAATGAAACACGTACACACAACCACGCTACACGACTGATGCTGTACGCTGCACATCGTGCAAAACGTGCATCACAAAGTGAACACTGAACTTCATTCACCAAAATAATCGTCTCAAGCACCCGTATTAATAACGAAGGGCCCTTATCAACACAGGCACCAATAACGTAGGCAGGCTAAGGCAGCCCATCACCATCATTAACAAAGAGTGAAGTCGGACGAGGTATGTTCTATTGCCTATTAATGTAGACGAACTGCAAAATCGCCCGATCGAGTGACGCAACGAACAGCTCAAGGGTTCTTCGGTTGAGAGAAGCCGTTCTGAAAATACCGGAACCCATGATGTCACTGGGCATGGGTAGGCACTGCCGCACTAGTAGCAAGTGTTATTGCACCATCACAATAACACCAGCAAAATTCGCGCACTAACGATGTTTCGCTTGATATTACTTGGTTTTATCAAGCAGAGAAAGAGTTAGTGATCAAGCACAAGCAGTGATGACAACGGCTCTTTTCTCAGGCGTCATTACGGATTTACTGGGATACACTCGACACGATCTGCGACTAACTACAGCATTTCAATGTTAGAAAATATTTGCACTGGCAAAATAGCTTTCGTATACAAGTCAGGAAATTTACGTGCCTTTATATTTCGAATTTGACTACATACGGAACGTTTTAGTCAACATTACCCTGTTCGCAAAAGTTCCTAACTTCTAGCAACTCTGGTGGCAGTCAGGGTAAGACTATGGTCAAACGCCTAGGATTGCTCCTTTTCAAATTACTAAGCGATTCGTCATAAAACAATATTTTTTACCCGCAAAATGCATTCTTGAAAGGCATTTAGAATCTGTGATAACGGGAAGCATGCCGCCAACACGGGCATCAGTAAATAAAATTTAAAATCCCTAACCTAGGTGAAAAATTTGCAGATAAGAAAAGTAATCCGACGTCGCCATTACTCCACGTAATGATGAGACCGGCATAATGATTTTGCAAAGTCCTCGCTTTTAAAATGTCAAATTTAACTTGCCACAAAGATGGTCAATCAATGAATGACAAGGTCATAGTATTTCAGCAATTAACCTATTGATGAACGGCTACATGGCTACAAAGTGATTGACTGCGACCGTTGGTCCGGTTGGAAGCTACGTAGTACGGTACCGAGACTGGCGTTAGCGTTAGGGCGGTTAGGCCATTGATTACTTGACTAAAATCCGACATTTCAAGAACCATCGACTAGCCTAGTATTTTGCTTTATGCTTAGTACCTAGGTATGAAGCCGTGTTGGTATGAAGCATCGGGAAGGAAGGCTAGTAGCCGACATATGATCGCACACATTGTAACCGACATAGTGACTACAGAACAAGTCACCGCTAATAAAGCACACAGGACGAGTCTTGACTAAACCTTCACTGATGCAACCTAACTACCAACACCAAAACTAACTCCAAAAAATCGATATCTCACGCCAGACAAAACTCACCTCCGTCATCATGTTGTGTGTAGGTAAAGCTAATTTCGTCGAGATGTTTAACTAATATAACTGGACTAAAAATTAGGTTTTAGTCCCTTAAAACGATGTTGTAAAAAATTTCGTCACGAGAGGAGCGGCACCTTCGAGGATGCAGTGCACACCCACCACCACACAGCACGGAAGCCAGTGGCAGACTGAAATCTGAAGCAACTAGCAAGTTCGTGAGGGAAAAGAGCGCCTCCATTTAAAGAGAGTAATAAAGACGTACGACCACACGGAGACTAATCGCTGAAGAGGAATCGCCAATCAATCTTGAACAATGATTTATTTGTATAAATTAATCGAAATAAGAACACTTCTATAATCTAAATCAAAATTAACAACACTCTGCTGGCCAACACGAACTTAATCTAACAAATGTTGATCACAATTACAGAATAGAATAGAA